AAGCCCACCTAAATAGTAAATAGTTTTTCCTTGACTTTTTCTTTTTCTTTTTTTCATGTTAAAAGAAACCTTTTAAAAAATATTTTTGATGTTTGTTGCAAGCTCTTAGTTCATTCTGAGCCTTAGCTTTTGTGACTTCATTTTTGCACATTTGGATTACAGGCTGATATTCTGCCTTAATTATGAGCCCCTCTCTCCATTTTTTATACCTGTCCTTTTTGTCTTTTAGTTTATCAAAGAATTCTTTATGCAGCCATGCAGGTTTCTTCTTGGGTCTCTTGTTTTTATTTTTCAGTAGTATTGTGCTGTACTGGGCTTTTGTAGTCTTATTTTTAGAGTTTTCTGTACATTTTCTGCACAAGAATTGTATTGTGCACAAGAATACAATACTGCAGAAGTCAAAACATTATGGTCAAAAGTAGTCATGACTATCCTATAACAAGGCAACAGTTCAAAATATACATGCCAAAATATATTTCAGTAGATGCAATAAATGAAGCTATGTGTCACATGGCTTTTAGTATTCAGGCATACATGAATGTTTTTTTATAGACAGAAAGTTAGCCTTTCAAATATTTCATCTCTCTGCTTTCCATTGTCCTGTCTTTCAGGAGGGGAAGATGATGATGATGATGATGATGATGATGATGATGATGATGATATCCATTCGAGTCTGATTCCTGGTGATTATATGGACCAGGTCTTTCCCAGTGGTGGGTTCCGGATCCTGGTGCAATCAGTATGGTGCAACGTGGCCCACCATCCACCGCATAAATGCGCACAGCATGCGTCCTTACCACCTGCCACCCTCCGGAGCCCACCAAGCCACTCCCAGAGAACTGGTGGCAAACAAATGTTTATAATTCACCATTGCCATGAGCCCCAATGACCCTGGTGGCAGCCATCTCCAGCCAAAGCAGTTGCTTAAGCCTGAGTTTTCCTATTCCCTTGTTATCCTGTGCAGAATTTCGGTCCTAGATCTGTCGCAATCCAAAATTGATTTTAAAATTTTTATTGTATCAGGGGGAATCTCTGTAAGAGAGCCAGTTTGGTCTAGTGATGAAGGAACAGGATAAAAACTGGGAGACCGTGAGTTCTAGTTCCGCCTGAGGCATGAAGGTTGGCTGGGTGACCTTGAGCCAGTCAATCTCTCTCAGCCCAATCCACCTCCTAGTGTTGTTGTTGTGGGGGAAAATAGGAGGAGGAAGAGGTGTTGGTTGCCACCATGACTTATTTGTACAAGTAATAAAGTAATAAAGGCAGGGAATAAATAAATACATAAATAAATGTCTGTGCACACAATTATTGTAGAATTGGTTCCACATATATTTTATCACATTAAATTTGTATTGGGTAGTCACCTCCAATGGAGGAAATACAACACACAAAATCACATTTGCCACTCTTGGTTTATAAACACATCAAACTGAATCCCATCCAGAGGTGGAATTCAGCCCAGAGGTGGGTTTCTCCTGGTTCAGCCCAGTTCAGCTGAACTGGTAGTGGAATTCAGGCCTGGGTCGCAGAACCGGCAGTGACCCAGGCCTGCCACTCCCCTGAAATGGTTCCCTCGTGACTGCTGGGCCACGGCCATTATGGTTTTTAGTAACTGCATGTGCACAGTTCACTGTAAATTGTTCTGTGCATGCGTGAAGAACAATTTATATTGGAGAGTGCATGCACGTACAGCGTGCGTCTGGCACAGGTTGCGAATCAGTAGTAAAACCGGCAGCAACCAACCCCTGATTCATCCATTCTCTCTGGTTCAGGCGGACCGGAAGCAGCGGCTGCGAGAGGTTCCGCCCACCCACCCTGACGTAATACACGAACACTGTGCATGCACAGACACGGCACTCAGGCGCCCACATTTGCGAACTGGTAGAGAAGGTAAGTGAATCCCACTGCCGATCCCATCAAACTATATTTTGATTTAGTACAACTGGTGCACCTACACTCTTCAACCATGATCAATATGTACAGTAGCCATATAAGAGTTTAGAAGAAACTGGAAAAAACTAAGGTCATAGGAAGCCATTCTGGGAAATGCCTCACGAAATTCTGACTACCGAGGCCCTCTGGAATATTCAACAAACCTATTACTAAGCACAGGCATTTATTTTATGAATAAATGCATTTGATGTTACCTTCTTTTGATTATACAAACTTCCTTGGGTAGCAGCTGTCACATTGTCCTGCTTTGTGTATTTTACTTAACACAATGTGATTATAGTCAGTGAGCCTTGGTACAAAGCCACTGCAATGACTATTCCACAATATAGTCCCCCCCCCCCCCCGAGATGAACAGATGGCCTTGCTTTCTAGGCAGGCTACAGAGAACTCATTTATCTGTTAAAACCCTGGCCTGCTAAATGCTGAGCAAAAGTAAACATAGGAGGGACAGAAAGAGTGACCAATTCAGCACACAAAGACAGCTTGCTCAACATCCTCTTACTGGTAGGGAAAGAATCCAAAATCTCGCCCCAATGTTGATGCTAGAGTTATGGCCCATGACTTAGAGCCAAAGGTTTGTGCCCTGACAAGTCTCCAGAGCAGCCTCTGAACATTAAAAAAGAAGCATTAAAAGGGGAGATGCAACACCACCTGCATCTTTCTGCAGCCTTCGGGTGATTGCTGAAAATTCTTTCAGGCAGGATTGTTGGGGGTTCCTCTTTAATAGTGTAGAAGGGAACCCAAGAATATACATTCTTGTGTTAAAGAATTATATCACTCAAGACATACACAAATGGCCATACTATATAATCAACTAACTGATAACCCTTATCAGAGGGAGCCCCCTTGTGGAGTACTGTGAAGCCATTACCATGGCAACTCCACTGCACTGTACAATAGAAGTCATTTTACCGCAGAACAGTAGAAGCCATTTTACGGCACAACAGGCTGTATCATAACAGAATACCCACCCCGAGGGCTGTTTGGGATGTCTTACCCCCTCCCGCCCAGACAGACAGACAGACAAGAGGGAGGGAGGGAGAGAGAAAGAGAGAGAGAGTCTCAGCTTGACTATTTTAGACTGAAATATTTGAGAAGGGTCAGTTCTTTTTAATCTCTGGATAAAAAGCATTTTAGTCAATTTCCTTCCAAATAGTTACTATTACACATCAGTTACATTCCGACCAAAGCTGTTCCAGAGAGATATTTTTCTCCTGATTCCTGGAAAAAAACATTTGAAGAGATGTGGTAGCTGCCTAGGGGAGGGGGAGTAGGAGAATATGGTCTTGAGGATTTTCCCAAACTAATATGTGGCCATCGTTCATAATTTACATAGGATCGCGGAGCACTTTTTCCTTTAAATAATGGAGACTGGAGGGAGTTGATCGATGGGTTTTCAGCGAGAGCACTACTAGAATTCACATTCAGCTCGAACCATCTGCGGTGAGGAGCAAAATGCTCAGCCGTATTCTTGGGAGAAAAAACATCCCCTCTTTTGACTGCTAAGGCAGGGAGTATTCCAGATTGTTCAAGATACGGCTCATATGAGCTAAACAAAGGAGCTAAATTTATCTTTGTACTTTAAATCAGGGATTGAGATGTTATGTTTAATTACATGCTCCCCTACAAATAATACCTTGCTAAGAGAGAAAGAAATACATTCCTCATTATCACAATTGATTTGCTGATGCTGTGCCAAAAGGAACTGTATAATACAGAACACAGGAGCTCTTCTTAATTATTAATTTGCATTTCCTGGAAAGAAAGTGTCTTAGGCGCAATACCTATTTGTATATTCCATTGCAATGATAACGATAAATGGCCTACCTTACAAAATCATCCTGTGTTCATTTAGTTTGACACTGCCTATAACTGCCTTCCCCAGCAAGTGGCCCTCCAGGAGGAGGGCAGCTCGTTTGGATATCCTGAGGATTTGTAGGTCTCAGCCCACACAACATCAGGTTGGGGGAAATTGATCTATAGGATATATCAAGTTTTTGCATTTGGTAGATAAGCCCTTATACTTACCATAACTCAGTTTT